CAGCCGGGCAGCCGGGCAGCCGGGGCAGCCGGGCAGCCGGGCACACGACCACTCCTGGCTTCACTACACTTGGGAGCACATTCTTTTTTAGCCTGAAGTTCTCTGTCTGTAGAAGTGGGGACGGAAACTTAGTTATGCCAGGAAGATTTGCTCTGCTGAAGCAATGAATGGCAGATGGAACCTCTCACAGCTGGCCCAGGCCTAGGAGTTAGTTCCCTCTTCCTTCGCCCCTGCCATCGCCCTATCAACAGAAGAGCAGCTGACGCAGGAGACGACACGCTCCTCCTGTGGACTATCAGTGAACTCCAAGTGAGCATGCGTGCCTCTGCGCACCGCAGCCACCACATCTTAGCAGTGATCACACTATCCACGATTTGGACCTTCCTTCGGTCAAGCGCCGGGGCTCCCCTCCATGAGAATGGACGTTTCCCTCCGAGATGGCCCCCATCTGTTTCCTCAGACAGGCAGGAGGGCCAGTGTCACCACAAGCAGCAAAGTGGAGAAGACTTTCAGAGCCACCCGGTCACCCATGCTCCAGCGATTCCTGGAGTAGGCTAGAGATGCCACATATCATGGCCCACCCCTGCAAGGCAGGGAGGAAACCAGCTAAGCCTGGGACACGATTCCCAGAAGGCTTCAAATCCCTTGGAAGAAGCTCTCAGGACACCGCCCAGCCAGACACAATACTTTCTCAGCTTGATAGGAATTCTCTAAGTCCCATTCCTCTAGGGCAGGGGACTGGTGTGTCAACCTGGAGAAGAGGAAAACCTTACCGTAGTACAGCTATTCCCAGAGCTGAGGACCTGCAGTTCAGCAAATGCCTTAGCCAGGAGCTCTAGAAACCCACCCACAGACAGTGAATGAGAGAACACGGGAGGAAGAAGTCAGGAAAAGAGGACCTGGGCTTCCCATCCTTCTGAACTACACAGTATGAATTCCGTGACAGCTAGAAGCATCATTAGCCTTCACTGCAATACAAAGGCCTCCTAAAGGGTCCACACAAACAGCTGCTAATGGTCACAATACTATCATTGTTGCCCTAAGGCTCTCTGCCTCCCCTGGAACCCTCACAGACCCAACTTCCCCCAGGATGGACATCACAGAACTACTTCCTGCTCTCCTTATAGGAAAAAGCTTTTGCTCTGTGCCTGGCCAAGAAGTTCACACACACACACACACACACACACACACACACACACACACACACACGTGCCCTCATCCTCTCAAGTTAAGCTGCTTCCCCACCTCCACCTGTTCTTGATAGGCAGACCTCTTGCAGAAGGAGTTTGGTTCCTCCCGCACAATATTTAGTGCTGTACACCTGTGGCTTTTGGTAAGTAGCCTCCCTTTCCTCGGTTTTGAATTGAGCTCTGCTTTCTAGAAACATCTATCCTTCTATTTTTTTTTTCTTCCTTAGGATCCCCCAGAAACAGCCTACCTTCTCTGTAGGGCAGTTACTAATGCTTTAAGTACTAGCTCATTTGTATGCACTCTGCAACCTTAGACAAGTTCTTCCGACTTCTTGGAGCTGAACTTCTCCATCTGTTAAATGGGCTTCAGACCCTCAACTTGTGCTCGTATAAACTAAGCAAGGCAATGCAGGCAGTGTGACGGTTCATCAGGCGGCAGGCATTGTCATTCAGGAGATGCCGCCGTCTTCCTTAAAGGACAGAGGGGCAGAGTCTGTAGTCCCAAGAGATCCAGGGAGGGGGCCTGGCTTCTGAGGCCAGGCAGATGGAAAGGCAATCTCGTGGCAAACAGCTGGAGCCCACCACTGCAGGTCTGGAGCCAACTGCCAGCTCCACCCGTTCCAGCAAAGGGGCCTTGGGGTTGACATAGCCAGTGCCAAGCCTGATGAGGCAGCTGCCAACTTTCCAGTTAACCCAGATGTCTGTCTTATATGGAAACTAAAAAATATGGCCTCAATCAAAGTGGCTCTTGAGAGTGGTGTGTTCCCAGACTCTGGCAGGACACTGGAGAGATTCTGGGCTGGGGCCTTTACTAATTCCCAAGAGGTCAGAAAGGCTAAACCCCAGAGGTAAGTGGGGGACACGTATCACTCACTCTGAGGGGGAGGAGCAGAGGGAGTCCCAGTGGTTCTAGAGCGAGTGTACCATTGGAACTGAGACTGCCTTGAAAGGCGGCCCTTTCGCTGTTAGAAATAGTAGCATCCAGCCTGGCGAAGTGCAGTGCTACATGTCTGAAATCCCAGCACTCAGGGAAGTGAGGACAGGAGGATCTCTGTGAGTTCGAGGCCAGCCTGGTCTACAAAGTGAGTCCAGGACAGCTGAGGCTACGCAGAGAAACCCTGTCTCAAAAGAAAGAAAGAGAAAGAAAGAATGAAAGAAAGAATAGAAAAGAAGGGAAAGAAAAAAGGAAAAAGGAAATAGTATCCTACAGTGGTTCACTTCAACAGTCAGGCTCAAAGGCCAGTGTGACCTGGGGGAGGCCACGAAGTCATACGGGTCCTGGGCTGCCCATTCTCTTGCTCCCGTCATGACTTGATTCTGCCGGGGAAGACAAAGCTTTCCCCAAGAGACACAGCCCCAGTTTATCAGAGGAGGAATAGAATTAAAGCCACCGGGCCGGAGAATGTTCTAGAATCCAGAAGTTCCGCTTTTCTTGCCAAGCACCCCCTGGTCCCCAAACTCATTCAGCAGCTTCCTTTGTCCTCCGATGCCCGCACAGTAGCTTGTTTGTCATGCCCTACTAAAAGAGACACCCTCCACCAGCCCTCGGGTAAGGTGTGAGGATGGATGTCTTGGCAAACTGTCAACACAAACGAGGTTCCCGAATGTTTCGCCCCTTCCCCACACAGCGCTCAGCTGTGCTTTAAGTGTTGGAAATGTTTACATTGCCCTGGTCTCTGTTGTTTCTTGCTCAGTGTGCTGGAATGCGTGCCATTCCAGGGTCTTGGTGCCCAGCTTGCTGAGCTGTGTCAAACACTGGGGGCGGAAGAAGGTTGGGGCACCGCCTGAGAGACGGGGGGAAAGGGCTGGGTGTTATGCGTGCACACGGAGGCCCATCCTGTGCTCTGCGCCCCCACAGACACGCAGCACTGCCATGTACGCGTAGTGCAACTGATCCAGACAGCTGCTTCCATGCCCGCCGTGGCTGAGGCTCGGGCCCTGCCTAGTCAGAGCTGGCCAGCTCTGTTGGGATCAAGGCCCTTGGTCCCTCAGTGGGATAAGCTCACACGACTGCCAGGCAGCCCACACCATGAGGGGGGCAGCTAGGCAGACAGCTCCCAAAGTGCGCATGCTGGCCCTCTCACCCACACCCTCCTTCTGAGTGAGGACGTCTTTCAGAACAGGTTCCACGGGCACTGTGCACACCAGCCCCCGCTAAAGGGAGGACCCCCACACTGAGGAGCCCTCACTGGCCACAGCAATCCCCACAGCCCGCACCCCTGCATCCTGAACCAGCATGGTCCTGTGCTCCTGCTTACAATCCCACAACCAGGAGATGTGGCATGTAAGTGAAGAGTCTGGGGCCCAGCGCTAGATGCTTCCTACCAAGCCCAGAGACCTGAGTTCAGTCTCTGGAATTCACATGGTGGAAGGAGAGAACCATCTCCTGTTAGCTGTCCTCTGACTGCTACAGGCACACACACACACACACACACACACACACACACACACACACACACACATGCACTATATATATATATATATATATATATATATGTTTTAAAATTTTAAATGAATAATCCAAGGTGGCTTGTACTTTCATTCCCACTAGTGTCACCTGACAGGTACCCTCCGTTAACCTCACTGTCAAGCTGAAGAACAGGAACTGACCTCAAGAACTCATGGGGCCCTAGGTGTCCCCTACTCCCACCAGAGAGCTTAATGTCAAGGGCTCAGTTGCTAAGGAGGTAGGATTCTGGAGCGGCCCCTTCTAGAACCCTGCTTGTCTGCCACATCTGTTGGCAGCTGGGCCCACTTATCCTCTGCACTGTCCCCAGAAGCAACACCATGGCAGCACTCAGGCCTCAAAGCAAACAGGAGCCTCCAAGGCTGTAGCCCCGGAACTGCCTCTTAGATGAACACTTGCTGCTCCTAAGACAATCCTACTAGGCCAGCTGTCCTGGAATCACTCTGTAGACCGGGCTGGCCTTGAACTCAGAGATCCGCCTGCCTTTGCCTACCAAGTGCTGGGGTTAAAGGGATGTGCCACCACTGCCCGGCTTCTTTCAACTATGTTTCAGATGGGTTGAATCTGCAGTTACAGAATTGTGGATATGGAGGGCCAGCTATAACATGAACCCTGTAGTCCCCACAGCAGCCCTGTAAGCGACACTGACTTCAGTGTCACAGGAGAGGGGACCAAGGCAGGGAGAGGTAGGCAAGCTCAGCAGAGATTGACTGCTGGCCTGGTTAGATGCTAGACTCTTTGAGCTGAACGCCACCCTTCGCTGGTTCGAAGAAACAGGCTGTACTGTGCAACCATCTGCACTTACTTTTCGTGTGGAAAACGCAGTCACAGCTCCAAGCTGAGTGTGATGCTGGGAACAGTTTTGCTCCTCCCACCGTCGGGCTCTGCTCCAGGCCCCCCACAAAACCAGCTCACCGAGCTGACTGCTGACAGGCAAGAATAATACATGCCAGGTCCAGGCCCAGGAATGAGGCCGGGGTGGAGGGGGGCGTGGGGACAGGCTGAGTAGGCAGAAGCCGAACTCACACACAGGCACCTGGTCACCTCTCCCAGGTATCAGACTAAGGCCCCGGGAACAGTGTGGATGGCTTTTTGCTCACTGACTCCTCAGTACCTGGCAGGCACATAAGAGACATCCAGCCAGCATCTGCTAAATCTGCATGCTCCTGAAAAAGGGAAGTTCTCACACAGTCTCAGGTTGAACAGGGACCCAGTGGCTGGGCAGAGGGGCTGAGCTGGCCAAGCTGTCAGGGAGGCTCCTTGCTTGGCCTTGGGAACCTTTGCCGGTGAGGTGTGGGAACAGAGCACGTTCCCCTGCCCTCCGTCTTGACACTAGTACTCACCCGGTCTGGGTGGGCATGGAGCACATGAGGTCACGCCCCAAAAGGTCCCCACACTGCCACAGCAGTCCTCCTGAGAAGTCAGCTCCACCAGGGGGTTGGCACACTGGAAGAGAGACCACAGACAGCCCATGACACCCACTGTCCATCCACCAAGGGCCCTAGGCTTCAACCCACAGAGAGCTAATATTTTTCTGAGCCCAAACTCCAGGCTGCCTTAGGCTGCAGGTACTAGTGACAGCTCTTCTACAAGGGGACTTCCTTGGTCCCCCTCTGTGTGCCTGGCACTGACAGGAACTACACACAGCTCAGGGAAGGGACCAACCTCTCCACATTCAGCAGCCCTCCCCTTTCAGACAGGGTCTCTGTAGCTTAGGCTAGCCTTGAATGCGCTATGTAGTGTCTGGTCCTGCCTCCATCTCCCAAGTGCTGGGATTACAGGTGTGCATCGCCATGCTGGGGATCAAACTGGGGATCTTCTGGACACGAGGCAAGCACTCTACCAACTGAGCTACGTCTGCAGCCCACGCAGGTACTTTCATGCTGTGGATTTTCCCGTATGGGAAATGGAAGTTTCTACAGTCTTGTTCCACAAGAACAAGGAAAGAAGAGAGAAGACATACAGACCTGGGAACCACAGCTGTTCTAGAAGCCTGAAGGGCTGAGGCAGAAACTTTGTTCTTACCTTTCCATTCACCGTGCTCAGGTAACACCGGCCCAGAAGTCCCTGATGCCTGGACAGCACTGGGGGTGGTGGCCGAGGGGCCTCTCCAGCCTGAGCAGGTATGCTGTTGCTGGCCCAGTGGCTGTGGCCTGGGCTCGCATGGGGCCGATGAGAGGCTCTGGTCTCCACACTGTTTTCATCCAGCACAGGGTCCACCTCACCCCGAACCCGTGCCACCTGGTGGATCTGCACGGAGGCCTCAGGCGGGTGGTGAATCTGCACCTTCACCAGCGAGGGGTTCACAGAAGCTGGACAGAAGGGCTGGGATCAGAGCTAAGAAGCAGGCTCCCACCTTGTTTTTCAGCCCTGTGAAGAATGCCCACCACCCTAGGACAGGCAGGCTCCAGACCACAAAAGGCTCCAAAAGCCCCTTCCATTTCTTTGCCTGTCATGTGTAACCAGAAACAATGTCCCCCGGAAGGACAGTAGCAAGTGGAAAGCTTTGCGTTGAAAACTGCACGCTTCTTCCTGATTCTACCTCCTCTGTGACCTTGTGCAGCCCCGAGTGCCAGCCAACCTCATGGGACCCATGCTCCAGGGATACCTGAGGTTGTCATAATCTCTGGGTTCAGGAGCCCCACCCCAACTTCTGTAGACTCCTGAGGGAGGGGAAGGGAGGTGCTTCATAGGTGGCTTTGTCTTCCTCTGCTCAGGTGAAGGGCACACAAACTTGGGGGAACCCCAATGGAATGGGAGGCAGAAGTGTGGGCAATGAAATGGAGACCTGTCCCCCATCTAGCACAGCAATGGTGACAGCACACTCCCTACCTGGTGCACCTCGAGGGCTGGCTGCCCCAACGGCTGGCACTCACCGAGCTGGTTGGAGAGAGGCAGCATGAAGGTGGACTGCTTCAAGGGCCCTTCCAGCAGGGCCCTGTACTGGGCCCCTCTTCCTGGAGGCTCTCTGTCCGGCTGTGGGACAGGCAGATGGCAGAACTTCCCTGTGGAGTTGGCTGGACACCAGCATTCATCCCGGCCAATGCAGCGGCCTCCGTTCAGGCAGGGAATCTGGCAGAAATCTACAACGAAGCATTCAGGGTGATTGGCAGCTGACCTCCAGTTGGTGACAAGCAAGCGGGGCCCCCAAATTTGGGGGTCTTGGAGGGTGTAGCGGGGAATTTATTTGAAACCCTGGAGTAAAGGTAAGCAGAAAAGCCTCCTTGTGTCACTCCTGCCCGCCACCATGCCCTAGAACACAGGCAGGGGCATGGATCTTCTCTAGCAAAGCAACTAGGGCTCAGAGACATTGTGCGACTAGCTTGGAATAACATAGCCATGCTGGGACAGCGCTAGGATAAGGCTTTACTTCCTGCTGTGATTTATAACAATGGATATAGCTACAGGACAAGAGGTTCCATACCAAGGAGTCCCTGAGAGGCCAACCCCAGCCACCACCATGCCAAGACCATCTGTGGGAGGAGAGACTCACAGATCCGGAAGCCAGACTTAGGGTCATGCCCGTGGCCACCCTGGCTGTACAGAGTGGTGGTATCACCCTTCTCACAGCTGTTGGCACAGCGCCCCCGAGCACATGTCTGCTTGCAGATGGTGGGAGTGAAGACGACCTTGATCTTCTTGATTTTCTCAGTGAGGTTCAGCCCTGTAGAGGGAGAGAGGGATTGGGTCCTGGACAGAGCCAAGACATAACCCTGATCTCCAGAGCCTGGTGCAAAAGGCCCTTAGGATGATGAGTGCATCCTACAGCATCTTCTAAGACCTGGACAGCGGGCCTGTGGTCAAGGTAAGGTGATGGTTTCAAGAAGCACCCAGAGGTGGCCCCTTAAGCTCATGCTGTGTGCACACTGATAGGTCCTGCTGAAAGAGGAGCCATTCAAAGCTACATTGGCAATTCTTGTGTATGTAGCTGAATATTTCATTATACAGTTGGCCTGAGGTTGAGAAATATCCAGGGCACCCTTCATTAAACACCCAAAAAGTGCAGAGCTGGGCTCTGAGCACAAGGACAGGGACTGAAGCATAGGTCCAGCTGGCAGAGAGGGAGTTTCCTACGGGAAATGGGGGAAGATAATGTCTTCGGAATGGCTAGAACCGGGTTTGGGGGATCTAGTTACTAGCTTCTCTTAGCAGGGTGTGAGAAAGCCAGCAAAACATCAAGGAGGAAGTGAGGGCAGCACACAATGACAGTATGTGGGCTGGTGTGTCCAGAAATGCTGGGGGTTTCCTGTTGGATTTTGCAGAAAGGATGACGTGGAAGCATGAGGGCCAAGGGGATTGAGGTCCCCCGGCTGGATAAGAAGGAAGCAAAGAGATGACAGAGCAGGAGGTGACAGACTGCAGTGAAGGTTGTAGGGTCTCAATAGGAGCCAAGTCCAGATGGACTAGTCTGAGAGCCTGGAACTTGGCACAAAGCAAGTGCACAAACACTTTTGGCTGGCTGAGAAAGTGAAGGGCAAGGGGACAGCTGAGTCCTCTGAGAGTGGAGGGGGAAGCAAAGATGAGGAAGGATGGGTTGGATTTAGATGCTCAGCCCTCGTAGGTCCAGAAGCAGAGCAATCTTACCCCAGGGAGGTGAGAGGCGGTTTCCACGTGATGCCTGATGGGCACTGTCTCTCAGCTCAAGCCCTGATCCAGAAGGCAAGGCATTGGAAGTCAGCTGGCCATTGGCACCAGTGGCCGGATAACGACGGACAGTCCTGGACAGCCCTGAGTGCTGCTGCAGGGGCCGGGTCTGGCCGAGGCTATTCAGGGTCCTGTAGAGATAACCATGGCTTTGGAGTTTGCATGCCAGGATCAGTGGTTCTCTGTCTTCCCATCATCTGGCTGCCCTCAACCCAGCACTTGCACCGGAGGAAGGCTCTCCATGAAGATGATTTTCCTCCACCCATACGTGGCTGACTCCTAGGTGTGTACGTGCCCAGATAATAGGACCAAGGGTAGCCAGTTTTCTACGAGGGACAACCTGCTCCTATTGGACTATTTAGAAAACCTAACATCTCTGGACCTCAGGACCTTTGACTGCAACACGAAGCATCATACTGTCCCTTGTAACTCTGGCATTCTGGGAGACTTTGAGAGCCCACTTATGGGCCAGCCCAGCACTGAAACCATGGTGTGTGCCAGAACCCTGCTATTTTTATCCCTCAGTCCTGGGGATAAATCCCAGGACTATTCAAGCACTCTGTCACTGCTACTTCCCCAGCCCTATTTGAAAAGTTTAATTTTGAAGCTTAGCCCAGGCCAGTCTCAAATTCACTGTCCTCCTGCCTCAGCCTCCCCAGTGCTCAGACTGTAGGTATGCTGCACTCCACCTGGCCCTGCCACTTCTCCACAGAACCCTTTATGTAAATTACTGTGTGGAATCGATTAACAACAAATAAATATTCATAGATCATTCAGTGGCAGAGCCCAGAATCTAGCTCCCAATTAATTAATATAAAATAATGTAAGAACCATATTCAAAGAGAAAAATTAATTCATCATCTCCCATCCCAGCACATCAGATAATTTCACCTATTTTCTTTCAACCTTTGCTCATATGAATTAATAAGATTATCACCAGCGATAGATGCGATTTAAATTTCTTTCATTTACCATTACACCCGACTTTATACAAATTCACATTTCCCCCAGGTTTATCATTTTCCCTGTTCCGTGGCGGTCAATCTGAATCACCGCTCAGAGAATGCTCCTATCGCATTTCTAGACTGCTGTTTTTTCGCAGTGGAAAGCCTCACACACATGACATATTTTCTCCTGTTAAAATATTCCTTTTAGGGCCAACAAGATGGCTCAGTGGGTAAAGGCAGTTGACAACAAGCCTGACATCCTGAGTTCAACCCCTGGAACACATGCACTGGAAGAAGAGACCAGACTCCTGCCTGAAAGTTGTCCTCTGACCTCCATGAGCATGCCACGCCCCCACACAAGTAAATAAATAAGTGTAAAAAAATGAAGTGTTCCTTTAAGGGGGATTCACGGTTCCATTCTATATGCTTGATATCTTTATGTGTGGTTATGCGTTGTGTGTGCATGTGTGCAAATGTGTGCGGAGGTCAGAGTTTGACACTGGGTGTCTTCCTCAACTGCTTTCCACCTTACTCTGTGAGTTAGGGTCTCCCGCTGAACCTAGAGCTTACAGTTGGACTAGCATGGCTGGCCAGCAAGCCAATGTACCACGCAGAGTACAAACTCAGTAGTGAAGATGTTGTTGATGATGATGATGATGATGATGATGATGATGATGATGATGATGATGAACTACAGGGGTGTGACCCCACACCTGGCTTTTTTTTTTTTTTTCTTCCTTGATGCTTGGGACTGAACTCAGCTTCTCTTGCTTCTATTGTAAGGATTTCAGCAAGTGAATCATTTCCGCAGCCCTGAAAGTTTTTAGTAAGTACTTTCTATGCTTTGAGAAGCCTTTTAATAATAAACATTTTGAAAACAGTTATGACATTAGGATTAACTCACTTCCTCGGGCTCCCAAGACTGCATCAGAGATTACAAACATCTTCAGCTTTAATATATTTTGGTGTTCTGTTTTCTGAAGGGGGTCACATCAAGACATGTTAGTGTCACAGTGTACAGGTGCATCAGACTGGATACAAATTACATGGAACCCCATGCACATTACAGTTTTATGGGTTCTTTTCGGAATCAGTTAAAATTTAAAAGTGGGTTTAAAACGTAATGAAGTGCATGAATGTGCCGTGCAGGACACACACTCGTTAGCATAGCTCATAATATTAATTACTGCTGTCACCATCATCAGCACTGACGGTCTGCTATGTAGCTCAGGCTAGCCTCATCACTGCACTTTATTTTTGAGGGCTGAGATTACAGGCACGCACTAACGGTTATTCATGGCCTTGTCGCTACCTTGTACTATGGTAATGGAATAAGCGTAATGATATAACTTCAATGTTGCTCTTCTCTCTTTTTCAAATTTTAGGTTTTGAAAAAAAGCTGTCTTCGCGTGTATGTATGTGTGACCGTGCATGGGTGTGTCCATGCGAATACAGGTGCCTGCTGAGACCGGAGGCATCGTGTCCCCGGGAGCTGAAGTTATAGGTGGCTGTGGATGCTGGGAACTGAACTTGGGTCTTCTGTAAGAACGGTATGTGCTCTTTAACAGCTCAACCATTTCTCTGACCCTTGCTTCTTACAAATGCTTGAGGCTGGAATTTTACTCCTGGATGTATTTATTGCTTGTCCTTTGATGATTGTTTGGATTGTTTATCTCATAAACTTGAACAGATCTTCTGCGTGTTTGTTATTGGACTGCCCCTACTGTAAATACTCTAGCATTCTGACAGCGGCCTGAGCCACTGTATACACAACAACATCTGGACCACGGTGGCTGTGAGGACATGTGAGCGTGGAAGCTAAAAAGGGCCGAAGACTCACTCAACATTATACAACAGCTAAACCAACACACTGGGATTCCAGTCAGGCCACCCTGACACCAAAGCCTGTATTCTGAGTCAACCCAGATCCCAGCGGAAGCCAGCCTGGATGTCTCTGCTCATGCCTCAGGGGTGCTCTGTGCTTGCCAGGCCCTGCTGCTTACCTCCCCATTGGAATCTCTTGCCTAATAGGATATGGGCAGGCACTCTTGCCCCTCCTACTCCAGAGTGGTCGGCTCCATGTGGTCAAGCCATGAACACTCTTCAGAGAGGAGCTAGATTTGGACAGTGTCAGAGCCTGGTTACCTCACCTACCCCAGGCCCTGTGGCACAAGCCTTGGCTCCTGTGAACCTCAGTGCTGCTCCTTCTAGAACCATCAGCAGCAAATCCTCTTCCTGTTTCCTGAGTTAGGGGTGTGGGGTAGGAGGCCCTGTGAGTCCTGTAAGTTCTAAGACCGGCAACGGTCCAGACGGAGGGCCTGAACCTCAGTCCCACTCCTCGCAGGAGGCCAGCGTAATCCGCTACATCGGAAGCAAAAATCCTTCTGATGCTTTCAAGAGACTTCCCATCTAGTGGCATCACTAGAAGCTTCAGAGATCTTCCGGGCCAGCTGAATTACTCCTCAGAGAAGAACAATGGGCAGGCAAGCCTGCCCACCCCCCCTTTTATAAAGAGGACCTGGCTGCTTAGAGGGGAAAGGAAGGCGTTTGGAACAGAAGGGTACTAATTTGGCCTCTTCCCAGCAGTGTAGCTGTGAAACATCGCCCAGCATCTCCGAGCCCCGTTGCCCTGAGCAGCAGGATGGGTTTAGGGATATCTACTTGACCGAGCTGTTGAGGGGACTGAGAGAACAGGGAAAGCCTGCAGCTCTTTTACTAATACAAGTGAGTGGTCACAAGACAAAAAGGCATGTCAGGGTTGTCAAAGTGCACAAACAAAGGTACAGAACAAAGTTAGCTACGGTTTGGATTAAGTAACACCTCCACCTCCACCCACAAGCCCCAGCTCCACCTCCACCCTCATTCCCATCCCCACCCCAAGGAGAAAATATGACCGAGACCTACAATTCTTCTCCGTCTAAAACGAAGAAGAAAAAAAAAGGCATGTTGTTCAAGCATCCTTATGGGCCAAGTGTCTAATTAGTTGCAATACATTGTTTTTAAAAAGAGACTTTCTCCTGAACCCAATTCATTGCCGTCCACTGAAGTGACAGGGAGAGTTAAATGACAAAAATCCAAAAGGCCTGCTTACTGAGAGGCCCACAGCAAAGTGAATAACAAAGCCCCAGTTCAAGAATGAGAACACAGCCATAAACTGCTCTGCCCTTCTGGACTGTCTTGTCCTCAGGGAGAGGAGACTGCATTCAGGGATGCAGCCTCTTGGCTCACCTGTGGCCTGTGGGTGTGGCTCCCTTTACCACAGTGAACTGGGCTGAGACGGAGATTGGAAGCTGGGGATTTGTCCCATTCATCCAACCTTGCTATCTCTGTGCTTACTCTTAAACACACAACTTGAGTCCTGGTTGTGTGTCTTGATCTCAGGATATGAGAGGTTAAGACAAGGCCTGGCACTCTGTTGCCCAAAAGAACAACTGAGTGGTGGCTACAAAGGCAAGCAGAGCCTCTTTAAGAAGATAACAGCCCCTGGGGAAAAGGGGATCTGTTAACACAAGAATGGCTTCAGCATTAGCCAATGGACAGCAGTTTCTAAACTTCCTACGCATAAGAATGGCATTTGCTATCCCCCTGGGGTGGTTCCAAGGAAGTCCTAGTAATGCTGCTACAATGAACCAAAACTTCAGGATTCCATAGATAGGCCAGAGTTCGAATGAATGTGGGAGACCCACATAAATTTCCACTTTTTAAAATGTAAGTGGTGTGGCGGCTAATATCATTTTTAAATTTTATTTTATGTGTAGGCATGTGAGCCTGTGTGAGTTTATGTGAACCATGCATATGCAGGTGCTTGCCTGAAAAGGCTGGAGGACATTGGATCACCTAGAACTGGAGTTCGAGGTGACTGTGAGCCTAGTGTGGGTTTCAGGAATTGAACCTGGGTCTTCTGCAAGAGCAGTAAGTGTTCCTAGCTTCTTGGCAATCTCCATGTAGCCTGAGGGATGGCTAATCTATACCATCCTCCCGACGACTGGATTGAAAACAGCTAGAGGATCAATGAGACAGGTTCAATGAGGCAGGTCTCTGGGTGTGTCTTATGAGGGAGACTCCAGAGATGATTAGGCCATGAGTGCTCTGACATCATGGACTGCTAATGGAATAGCATTCTGGGAGGCGGTGAAAGGTGAGGGCAGGAGGCTAGCTAAGGGAAGTAAGCTGGCGGAGGTATA